GTCTGTCTTGATGCTTATTTTGCATAGCAATGACAGTGAATTTTAATAGATTGCATATTATATTCCCTGGTTTTGGGTGTGAATGAATGGGTTAATGGACAATAAGAGGCAGGGAGCTCCTTACCAGAACACTTCCTGGGGCACCATGGTCCCCACTACAAGGCTGTTAATGCCTTCCAAACAGGATAACCACCTCCCTCCCCAGCCCACAATGGGAATTGTCAGCTTGACTTTCATCTCAATAAAGATAAATGTGTTTAAGGAATTTTCTAGAAGTGAATCTGGAAAGGATTATTCATTATATTATTCAGACCTTAGAACCATGAAACCATAAGCTGAAAGAGCACTTCAAAGAGTACCCTAGATGATGAAGATGACTCTTCTCTTAGAAATAAATAACTTGACCAAGCACTCCTCCCGAGAGCTACAGGTCCTTACAGATCATGAATTGTGTTTGGCACCTTGGCGCCATTGCTAGGCCTCTCCTGGCAGCCCCTGCCATGCTATTGCTCCTTCACTTCTGAGAAGCGGGTGCTTGTTTTTAACAGATGTTTCAGGTTATGGAAGACAGCAATAAGAATTCCAGATGTAACATTTGCCCTGAAAGGAAAAGGAACTGATAAAAGTTTTTATAGTATGATTGATCTAAAAAGCTCAAAGTTGTAAACAGTATGAGCGGCTCATTAAGGCCATAGAAATATCTAAACAAACTGAGCACTCTCACATTTCTGGTGATCTTTAACTATAAGTTGGTTAATATTTTCCTTCCCAATCCCATTCTTATTTGCATTTGGCCACTTTTCTATTAATGAGGCTTATAATCACTCATCTTTTTAAAACAGGCTTTTAACCATTCCCAGAACAAACTGGCGTTGTGCACAGTGCTGTAAATTCTGAGGAGTTGAGTAAGGTTGAGTTCAAACCCTCATCGGAAAGGCTGCTATGAGAGCTGGGGAGATGGTCTGCAGAGACAGCTGCACAGTTAGGAGAGATGGCTGCTCTTCTAGAGGATCCAGGTTTGATTCACAGCCTCCACATGGCTCACAACTGTCTGTAACTCCAGTTCTGGGGACTATGACATTCTCAAGCAGCCTACCTGGGCACTAGACATGCACTGGTACACAAACATACATGGAAGCAAATACTCATACGTATAATAAATTTTAAAAAACATGTAAGCTGCTAATAATGCAAACTTAGGTAATCACCTTTTATGGAGTTATGTTTCCCCTAGGCAAAATTAAAATTTGATCATTTTAAATCCCTCCTTTGTTGTTAGTGTAATTCTCATTTACACCAATGGGAAGCCTACCATTGTTACATTTTTAAAAGCCCACATTTAAATATCAACTGGCAAAGTTACCTAAATTAATCTAAACCTAGATAATTTAGGAGATTTAAAATATTTAGTTGTTTAAGGGTAAAACCAGTGTGCAATTAGTCTCTTTGAAAGAACGGAGAAAGGAAAGAGAAGAAATGGAAAGAAAAATAATTCTGCTACAAACCCCATTGTGGTAATTAGCATTAATAATTAGATATTAATATTCTATGCTGTTAGGTTTTATATTTAAATAGCCATGTCTATGGTCAAGTAAAGTTTTTTTTTTCTTTCCCTTTTTGGACAGGTTGGTAAGTCATTTCAATAAAAGTTGCAAATAAATTATTCAAAACTGTATGCTGATTTCCTTTTTAATCAGGTAGAGGCAACAAATAAATCTGCTATGTAATCATCAAAGAAATTATTGGCACAGTATTTTCCAGTGAATTATTAATTTCTTTAAAGATTCATTCTTTATTAAAGATGCATTAATAAGGAAGTGAGGGAGGTGGCTGGTTCAGTAACATGTTTGTTGTGCAAGCATGAGGAACTGAATTCCAATCCTCAATACCCCCTAAGAAGCTGGGCTTGCCTCTATTCCCCAACACTGAGAGCCAAGGGCCTAGGATTTGCTAGTGTCACTGAATTTGTGAGCTCCAGGTTCAGTGAAATGCTGCCTCAAAAATCAAGGTGGAGAGAAATTGACGATGACAGCCAAAGTCAACCTTTGCTTTTCATGAATGAGCACACGTGAACAATTTATACACAGATATAATCACACACACAAATAACAATAGATTTGGTCCCCAGAGGCATAGTGACACATACTTTTAACCTTAGGCCCCAGGAGGTGAAAGAAGGAGAATCAGGTCATGGCCAGCCTCAGCTACATATGTGACGCTAGCCTGGACTATCTTTTTCTTCTTTTGAAGTTTTATTTATCACATATGCAGTGTTATGCCTGCAGGCCAGAAGAGGGCACCAGCTCTCATTACAGATGGTTGAAAGCCACCATGTGGTTGCTGGGAATTGAACTCAGGACCTCTGGAAGAGCAGCCAGTGATCTCCAGCACATGAGATTATCTTTTTAAAAATATCCATTAGATTTTTTAATAAGAAAAGACTTAACTAACATTACATACATTATGATGGAAATGAAATGGCAAAAATGTTTATGAATATACACTTGCAGCAAGAGGTATCCAATCACCAGAAGAAAGAGATGTGCTGGTTTCTTAAATGAGTAACATCATTACACAAATAACAGCCCAGCTTTTATGATGAAACATTTTATGTAGAAGAATGCTAGAAAATCACACAACTATCCACCTTAGCCACAGTTAGTTTTTACCTGTGGATTTCAAGGCTGTCTATTTTTTTTTTTTTTTTTTTTTTTTTTTGCTATTGCTTATCTTTTTAGAAATCTATCAATGTTTTAAATTTATTGTTGAAACCATGACTTAGAAAGTACTACCTTGAAGGCTGAGGATGCAGCTCAATCGGTAAAGTTCTTGCCAGACATGCTGGGGCTCTAGGATCCATCCCCAGCATTGCACAATGACCTGGTATGGTGGCACACGCCTGCAATATTAGCACTATGGAGATGGAAACAGGAAGATCAAAGTCATCCTCTGCCTCACAGGGTTTGAGGCCAGCCTGGGACACGTAAGACCCTGTCTAGCTTACTAACTAAATAATAGGATGATATTACCAAGTTGCAACCAAGTATCATTTTGCACATGTGGTATATGTGCTTGTGTATGTATGCATGGTCCACTGTTTTGTAGATGTGGAAACCCAGAGCTGAAGCTGGATGTTTCCTTAGGTCACTCTGTATTTTATTGTAGCTTCACACTCACGGAACCTGGGAACCTGAAACTCACTCTAGCTACTCTAGCTAGCCAGTCTGTCCTGATGCTCCACCTCTGCCCTGAATGCTGGGAGTACTGGAGGATGGCTACGCCTGTCTACCTTTTGTATGGGTTTTGGGGATGTGAAGTACTTTATGCAGTGAGCTACCCACCCTCCCAGCCTTCTACTATCAACATCATTCCCCTACCTGCCCTTTATTTCAGGTCATGTTAATAAACAGGCATGGGTAGGAAACATGACTCCACACTAACAGTGAGAAACAAGAAGCAAAACTTTTATTTCCAAACTACCCCTGGCAAAAGCATGAATATTGAGTCCTACTGACCTCATTAGGACAGAGAAAGTATTTTAACAAGGACATTTACTCCCACCTAGAAATTCTCATATGTGCCATTCTTGCCTTTAAAAAACTGAAGGTGTTTGTTTTTTAATTGATTACACGTTTAACTTTTAAGCAGTTTTGGTACAATGTGAAATAAAATTCGGCATGTTTTTCTAATAGTATTCAAGGTCGAAATAAAAAAAAGGCAACACCTATATAATGATTTACCTTTATTGCCTGTGTTTTATTGGCCTTCTGTGTCTAAAAAGAAATTAGCATTTTCACTCCAAGCGGTTTTACTGCAAGTATAGTTATAATTTAAATCAGCACCCTAGAGCATAACTCTAGGATATATACCAAACAAGCGGTGGCTTAGGTCAAACACTCGAAAAGAAGTATTTATTCTATTCAAAACGTGTAGCTTTATGCGTTTTACATAATGACTTACATCGTGACCGAGAACTTCAAAAGTAGCATTAAAGTGCTTAAAAAATAAAGGTAATAAAACAGCAAACAGGTATGTGCAGGGGTTAAAATTGGGCTTTCCCTGTTGCTTGCATTTCCCCTTATAGTCTACTTTCAGAGGCCTGGCTAACTAAAGTCATTCAGCTAGTTCATTAGCCAGCTGTAGTTTAGGGAATTCTTTTCTACCTTAGACTGGAGAGGATCTAAATCTTATCATTTGATTGAAACTGGGAATCAAGGGCAAGGAGCCAAAAAACAAAATCTATTCCGCACGCGCCTGGGGTGCATGCACGATGTAAGTGGCCTGTACCCAGGGCCTCAAGACACTGTCATTTAGAAGTGAACACCCTCACACAGTGGGCAGACTTCCACAAGTTCAGTCCTGGTTTTATGGATGGAAATCTCCAAAGTACCCGCCATGCTTGCTTACATGTTTTCCCTGGATTTTCTTTCACACCTCTCGCCTGATAGTCCTTAGGATTTCACCAAAGCCAGGTTACATGTTTAGGTGACACCCACCTACGCTGTCCACACCCGCTGCCTAGGCACGTCTCACACAGCCATACTTTAAAATATATCAAAGGGGTGAAGATTTATCTAAACTTAGTCTCGGTCGGTTTATTTTGCACTCATCCAATAGGTCTCCAGAGGCAGTCAATGTAAACCCATGATGAGTAGCATCTCTCAAACTGCTCCCTGACTTCTTGACAGCTGCGCCATCTACCCGCGGAATCTGGGCCTCTGCTTTCGACCATTCTCAGATCAGCTCATTCAACCTAGAAGCTAGTGGGAGGATTGAAAAGAACCAAGCAGGGGAAGAAAGTTGCTTGCTACTCTGTCTTCCCACGCGGATCTCTTGAGGCGGCTCCCGCAGAGCTAAGGGGGCCACGGAAGCCTCCCGGCTGGCGACTCGAGCTCTGTCCTCGTGGCCACGGCCAGGCCGGGACAGCCTCGCTGCAGTGGCCGGGGACCTCGCAGGCCCAGCTGCGGAGGCCAGCAGCCTTCGGCGGGAGACCGACTCACCTGCCCTCCCCGGAGGCGATGGAGCGCGCGCCGCTTGCCGGGACCCAGATGCGCAGAGGAGACGCTGGCGCGGAGACACAGGGGAGGGGTGGTGTAAGCAGGAAAGAGGATTACCTAAGCGGGGATGCGGAGCCCAGAAGGAGGCTACAGCCTTTCCTTGAGAAACGGAAGAGGCGGAGGAGGGGCAAGCGAGGAGGAAGGGAGTGCCAACTCCAGGAGGTGGTCGCGAGGGGACTTGGCGTCGGCGTCCTGGGGCGGACGCAACCGGAGGGCGAGCGCCTGTTAGGACCGCGGAGGTCACCGCAGCGAAGGCGGGGAGGCGCCCTGCTCTCCTGGCTCCCAGTCCTGAGCCTAGTTGCTGCCAGGTCCCCGCCCCCTCTCTTTCCTCGGGCTGGTGGCGTGGAAAGGCTCGGTGACGCCTCTGGCTTCTGGGGCGGGCGAGGGCATCCCACGCCTGCCAGAGTTTGGCGTCTGCGACGTCACAAGTGAAGCATGGTGAATTGCTTGGGAGGGCCAGGAAGTTCAGGGTCGCCTCAGCCACAGTTCATGGTGTGTGTGGTTTCTTCCGACCCGCCCACAAACTTTTTTAGAATATTCCTCCTCTATTCTTTAGGACTCCGGGTATTGCGGCTTTGACAGATGGGTTGGAAGCTGTGAAGCTGGACTCCTGCTAGCGATATTCCAGTCCCCCTGCTGTAATAGAGGGTTCTGGGTTGCCGCGTGGCGTGTCCTTTAGCCAAAGCGGTGTCTTCTATGTGGGCCAAGGGCTGGAGAGATGGAAATCTTGGGTAGGCAACTCGTTCCCGCTGCATCCCTTTAAAGTAGTGCTCACAGTGTGCCTTAGGGATAGTTGGGAATGGTAGGTGGAGATAGGAATGAATGGTGATGGACAATGGGCAGCAAGGGTGGGAACATAAAATTTGGGGATGGAAGGGGCTCAGAGTCTCTTAAGTGCTCCTGGCCTTCTAAAGCAGTGTTTTACAGCCATTTTTCCTTATACAACTAGGGGAGGACAACACTGCAAAGCCCAAAATAAGCCTGCAGAGGAGGTTGCCCTTACAGGAGGTGGCCGAACTGGACCTTCTAGCCAGCAGGTTTTCTCAACTACCTTCCCCCACACTGCCATTTATCTGCATCACCATAATGGCAACTCAATGAACAAGGAGGCACTAGGGCAGGAGCCTGGGGCAGTGCTGTGAAAAACACAGCAGTGGTTTAAAGTGTTAATTCTCTGTGACTCACTCAGCTGTCTCCTGTAGGCCCCACCCACTTCCAGCTTTCATTCACTGGCAGGCTCTGAGAATGCAGCTTTCACTCTCAGATCCTCTATTTTCTTGTGTGGAGTCTCACTCTATAACCCCTGCTGGCCTCAAACTCATATCCCCCTGCTTCAGCCTTCTGGGTACTGGGAGTGCCATCAGGCCTAGACGCTCAGATTGTCCTTTGGGTCCATTTTCCTAAGTCCCTCCTTATGAAATCAGATCTATGACAGCAAAGAAAAAAATAATATAAATTTGATATTTTGGAATAGAGAGAAGGTGAAGGATTTGTATCTAGGAGCACAATTGGGGAGGGAGTAGAGTAAGGGCTCTGAATCTAGCTCACTTCTCTGCTGCTGCAGAAATCACTCTGTAACATATATCCCAGTGAGTCTCTTGCTGGTAATACTAGGAGCAAGCTCCTGGTGACCAAAGCCCATTGTCCCCTCTTATCTGTCCACTTTGCCACTCAGATTTATTGACCCTTTTACCAAACCTGGTCTAGATACCAATCCATAAATATTTATAACTCCACCTTTGTGGGCACCATTGTCACATCTGTGAATAGTCTCTTGCAGCTGTAACACAGTTATAACAGCTGTGTAACTGGTAAGTCTCACCTCTCTCATGGCTATCGAGATGATGATACAGCAGGGGAAATGACTGCCACTAAGCTTAATGCCTCAGTTTGGTTTCTGGTACCCACATGGTGCCATAAATATAAATACTTATATATTCTTATATTAAAGAATTATGATAATATAATGTTATAAAATATAAGACAGTGAAGATGTAAGAGAGTTTATTTGCTCAAATATGTAGTATTTGGTGAGGCTAAGTTTGAACCTGGAAATTTGACTTCAATACTCACATGATGGGTACATTCATCTTTTTAATATCTTTCTCAGATTGTTATGGTTTAATTGCAAAGTGTTACCCACAAGCTTACACATTTAGACATTTCATCCCTAGCTTGCAGTGCTCTTTGGGGAGTTACAGAACAGTTTGGGTCAGGGGTGGGTATGGGGGGGTTGGAGGTTGGGGGTTGGGATGTCCTCACTGGAAGACGTGAGTGGCTGAGGAGTAACCACTGATGTTATAGTCTGGCCAGTTACCAGCTTCTCTGTCTCTTTTTGGGGTTGGTTTGTTTTGTTGTTTGTTTATTTTTGTTGGTTTTCTCTCTGTCTCTGTCTCTGGAAGGAAGAAATGTGGAAGAAGTTGGCATTGCAGACTAGAGGAACCTCAGAATGCTGTATGCAGAGCTTAACAGGCCGTTCTGGTGGCAGAACGCCAATTGGAAGACAGACCAGAAAGCAACTTCTCAAGAGGTTTCAGAGGGGAAGGAGGGCTGGGCTCTAGGTGAGGGAACTGGCCTGGAGGCCATTTGTGTTAAGTTCTCACCAAGACTCTGGCCACATTTTCTGCAATAGTACAACCTAGAGAGAACTTCCCAGCTCTCCACTGCAGTAGGAACCGCTCTTTGAGTACAAGACCCCATGCTCGGAAAGCTCCTAGGTAACCTACCCAACTCAGTCCGCTAGGGAGCTGCTTAATTAGGTTCAGCCATATTGGAACTCCGAGGCTGCCACAACTGATGTGACAGGGAGCCAGCAGCAGAATTTACTACTGATTTTGCAAGCATGCAAGATTCCAGAGTTACAGTATTGTGGACGGTTCTAGACAGCCACTGTGGACTGGTAATATGGCGTGGGACTGGACTCCATGCCTGTAACAAAATCTCAGGGAGCAGTTCAGGAAGCTTTGAAGGTGAAGCCTAAGTTGCAATGGATTTAAGGATGCTAGAGATACTAGGAACATGAAATATTTGTCAGGGCAAGCTGCAGTCAGAGAACTGGAGTCTGCCCAAGAAAGAGCACATGTGCTACAGGCAACAGAGCTATAGGGAGGTGACCCAAGTCCATTGGATCCCAGACGGTGCCACCAAACAGGGTTTGACATAGAGGGGTTTGGTTTTGTCTTGGTTCAGTCCTTCCTTGCTATGGTCTATTACCCCTTTCTGAACAGAATTTTTATTCTGTGTCATTGTATATTGAAAATGGTGGGTGACTTTTTCTTTTAAGGCTTTCATAGTTAGATTGCCTGCAGTCTTAGATTGTGGACTTTCAGTTTCTGAATGGTGTTGAAGTTATAAGACAATGCGGACCTTTGCAGTTGGACAGAGTCCATTTTTCACTATAAAGTGGTGATAAGCCAATAGGAAGGTGGAAATGAAATACTGTGGTTCAAAGATAAAATGCCCGCTGTGTTCAAGCACTCGATCTCCAGCTGGAAACACTGATTTGGGAGGTTTTTGGAACTTTTTGGATGTGGGGCCTAGTTTATTTTTTTAATTTATTATAATTATGTTTTTGTTTTTTTGTTTTTGGAGTCAGGGTTTCTCTGCGGCTTTGGAGGCTGTGCTGGAACTAGCTCTTGTAGACCAGGCTGGCTTCGAACTCATGGAGATCTGCCTGCCTCTGCCTCCCTAGTGCTGGGATTAAAGGCGTGTGCCACCACCACCTGGATGGGGCCTAGTTTAGAGAGGAAGAGTGACAACAAAGCTCTGGGTCTGGTGTGAGCTCTCTCTGCCTTCCTTTCTCTTTGTCCGTCTGACCACTTCTCTTTCTTGTTCTGAATTTAACATCTGTAGTCTCTTTAATAAATATCTCTGCATTTTCAACATCTGAGTAGAGCTGGTTCCTGCTGTGACAGACTAGTATATATTAAGGGACACTTGGTCATCATAGACTTTTATTCCTCATTGCAACAGGCCACGGACATTTTACATTGGAGGTAATGATTTACATGCATTGTGGGTATGAATTTGAATTAGTATTGTGAGGTCCTTGTGTGGGAATGTAATACTCTTAACATTGTTCCTAACTGCTGCAAAGCAGTGTTTGAAAAGTAACATGCCTGAATTTTATTAGGTAATTATGTACTACAGTGCATTGGTGTTCAGATTTCTATATTTTCAGTAGGTTCATTATGTGTGTGTGTGTGTTCCCATGTTGCATGCTTGTGTACATGTGTGCTTGTGTGTGTGTGTGTGTGTGATCTTTCTGTGTTGTCTTGGATGGCCTCCTACCTCAGCTCCTCCATGCCCAGCCTTAGTGGACTTTTCAGTGAAACTTTCTTATGTGTATCAAACATGGAGACTGTACAAATATTGAGGTGATTAACTGACAGAAAGTTGGAGGAAATTTATCTTTGAAGCAGATGTTGAGATGGTTCTGAACACAGATTGAAACACAGATTAGCAGAGTCCCACTCTAGAAGATACACTCTACAAATATTCCTCTGAGTTTTCAATAACATAGTAGCCAACCTGTCCTAAGTAAGGGTCAATAGCCACAGCCCAGTACTTTCAGGCTTTCTGGACTCAGTCATATTCTTTATATATAATTCTATCTAATGGGCTCAGAGTTGGCACTGCTGTTAAGAGCTTATGCTGCTCTTCCAAGGGACTTGAACTTTGCTCACCACACTCATGTAGCTCAACACCACCTGTGACTCCAGCACCAAGGGATCTGATGACTCAATCACCACAGCACCAACACTCTCCTGCACTCCCTAATATATACAAATATTCTAAAATTTAAAAAAATTGTATCTGTCACTTCAAACTAGTATTAACCTGGCCAGTTGTCACTCAGATCAACATAGTGTGCCTGTCACCGTTGGACAGCTGGAAGTGACAAGTGACATTGCTGTGGCTCACCAGGTGACTGCTGCAGCACTAGCCACCTGTATGTTTTCTGTTAGGCAGATGTAACAGTAACCATAGGAGTCTTGGTAATGAATCATTGTATGATACTCACAGCATGGACTGAGTTTTAATTGATACTGTCATAATTTCTCAGCTCAGTCAGTGTACTTTTATTATTATTATACACTGCAAGTCAAATTTATCTGAGCTATAATGAAGAAACTTTTGGAGATGACCCCTTAACATTTGTGACCAATGGAATATATAAAACTGAAGTTTTTATAGTGCAGTGTTATTAAACCATATAAACTTGAGGGGATCAAATGAAGTACTCCACCTGAGTGAGAAGGTCAAAGCAAAGGATGGACAAGTCATGATAGATGCATTTAGAGTCATATCCCTATGCTTGGAAATAGGTGTTTTCTTTTTCAGGTCTCACTTGGGTACATATGTCGACCTTGTAACTTGGGAATCACAGTTTTCCAGCTTGTAGG